TTGTTCCAGTCGGCGCATGACGACGAATGGGCAAAAGTTCAAACAGTCTAATTTTAGTTACTGCGTCATGAACACATACACGTGACCACCGCCACCCTAGAAAGATTCAAAGTACTCGTTAGAGAACTTATTTAAAGATCGTGATTCTTGGAGAGTGACCTTAATCAATGATCCGCTCAGGATTCACTACTAAGTAGTAAGTAGTATACTACAACATGCGTTCAAAACATCCAAAATAATAACATCCGAGACAGCCTAAATATGGACACTGTGGGAGTTGAACCCACGACCTCACGCAATCATCATGCGAAGCGTGCGCGCTACCAACTGTGCCAAGTGCCCGCATTCCTCGACTGCTCACTTATTGATGAGGTCATATTTATAACGTTAGATCCAATCAACATCCGCAATGCACGCCGCCGACTGCAGAATAACTCATTAAGCGCTCCAAATTGAGCAATGACAAGGTATCAAAATTCAAGGGTAAATATAAGAGTACATCTGCCAGTCACAAGAAAGGAAACGACAAAGAACTTCATCGGCGATTCACCTGAACTAAGCGCAAAATAGCATTTACCCATCGTGCGACATATGCCTTCATCTTGCTCATCAGTGACTTCGGCATCGATACCGTGTCAGGACTCGCCGTATCGTTGAGACTGGTAGCCTTGACGTTCGACTTGATACTGCCAGCTTTTGACGTTAAAGTGTCCTCGTCTGAAGAATGTGCTTTGAACCACTTGCAGCAAGTCGTCAGAACGAAATCTATATCTTAAGAAATATCGCACCTTGACCAGCTCCTTCGCAGATTCCTTTGGGAACCTTTGTTGTGTGTTGTAGTCCACATAGGTCACGCCAAAGCGAGTGATATACCCATCGGCCCATTCGAAATTGTCCAGGAAACCTTATCGTGGAATGCGATCAGACGCGTAGTGCAAGGCTTAGATAGGACTTACTCCAAGGGAAATACGCTCGTATGTCTACGCCATCCTCATGGATGGCAGCCAGAAGGGCCGAAGTTGTTCCGCGGAAATACTGTACCCGGTCGTGGTCAAGCAACGCTTGCTCCAAAGGCATGGCATCCTCATCTTTGACGGCAAAGCCATTTTCTGTGACGCTACGACACGTGAACAGGAATGAGGAGTGTCAGAAAGATAGGGAGAAACCGTACTATATGGGCATGTGGTACCGCTTGACGGATCTTTAGTACACAGGCCGGGAGCATTATTTGAATAAGTACGTACGTTCCAGAGATAATTGAGCAACTTGATGGTCATGAGATGTCGTTCATCATATGAAACTGAATGAACACTCACTGCTCGGAATCCTTGCGGGTCTGAAAAATGTTGGAATCATCGATGGATACTGATGGGAAGAAAACGGCACCTACAATCCTGTAACCATGCACAATGCGCTTGTGTTCCCAGCTGAGACCCATCAGGTCTGGTGAAAGTGTAATCGATCAATCCCTGAAACTCGTCGTCTCCGCCCGCTCCTAATATCAGTCAGTTCTTCGCCGCCCAAACGAGAAAACAGAGCAGACTTACGGCACAAATTCGTTGTATATGTATTCATCCCATAGAAATCCGACGACCCCTGTACTAGACGGATCTCTTCGTCCGTAAACTCTGGAAGACGATCTCCAAGCATCTGCCGCAAGTACGGTGGATACTGTCCCAGATAAATCGGATCGGCGAACCATCCTATGGCGGTGTCGAGGGCGTGTTGAGCTGCTTCCACGTCTGGACGAAATAAAAGATGATAAATATACACCTTTGTACTAGAACAAGGCTCACTTTCGGGGCTGTCATCCCAAGGCGTCTGCCAGTCACCATTGAGAGTTAGCCCAATTTGACCGCCTTGGTTCGGTTTGAACTCTTCCCGATAGAGCTTCACAGCTAAGGCATGGGAGAGGAGTACGTTATGACCGACACTGAAGAGGTTTCTAAACGAAGGCTAGACTGATACGTATAGAAGACCTACATCCATGGCTCGCTGCTAGAATCACCCTCAGCGGAGCGTGCACGATCACTGGATCTTCCAGGAGCGAAGACACCTCGGCCATATCCTAAAACAGAGACACACCAGGGCTCGTTTATAGTGAGCCTGCAGCGATCGTTCTGAGTAGACGCCGGAATATTAGAAAACTGCGCACCAATGTTTCACGCGATCACCAAATGCTTGAAAGCACACTCTTGCATATCGCGTATAGTCCTTCGTAATCTCAGCCTTGTTGAGCCACCCCCCGTAGCGGTCGTGCAAACCTTGCGGGAGATCCCAATGATACAACGTCTAGAAATTAGCCGTTAGCCTACTATCCCTTAACGAAACCTAAAATATCACGTACGACGAACGGAACAATTCCATTCTTTAACAACTCGTTAATCAAATTGTTATAAAACTCGATGCCTTTGTCGTTGATCGGATCATCCCTGCCGCCTAAAGGAATCACTCGACTCCAGGAGATAGAGAAACGATATGATTTCACGCCATACTTGACCAGTAGTGCGACGTCCTCTTTCCACAGACGGTACGAATCCGTGGCAACCTCACCATCGCGTCCGTCAAGCGTCTTGCCTGGAGTCTTGGCAAAGTCGTCCCAAATGGAAGGACCGCGCCCATCAACCGACGTAGAGCCTTCGATCTGGAACGACGCTATCGCAAAGGTAAATTGTAACGTACACATCGGTAAGGACCATGAACATACCTGTTGCGAAACCCCACAGAAAGTCTTTGGGAAGCTTGTTTGCGGCAGAAGGAGTTGTCATTGTGAGAGGACCATTTTCGAAACGCGATGGCGCTGTCCTTTATATCATGGCCACCTACATCAATTACCGATATCAGAGAAAGAGTATTGACACGCCCTCCGAGATTACTCCGTAGGAGAATATGACGCTGCGATTGCGCTGCGAAAAGGTGTAGGAGATTTGCCGGATGCTCGGGGAAAGACAGTTAGCTTGCATACAGATCTTATTGAGATTCAGCCCTGGTGCGCTTCTTTTCCATCTCGTATTCTTGGTACCAACCAGATGAAGAAAGAGGATGCAGGGGGCGTGTTATTCTAACGGAGAATTGTCGGCGAGCACGTGATTGGGTTCTCCAACTCTGTCCAGTTTTGCTCCATATTTTCTCAAGCACCAGGCTTACAAGAACCCGCATTCAGAGATTGACCTCTCAACGATGACCCAACCTGCGAGACAAGGCTTTGCGATCTTCGGTGCCGGTATCTTCGCAACTGAAGGTAAGTTCATACAATTCAAGATCTGGGTGATCGCTTACAATATCACATCCGATAATTCACCTTTCCCCGCATGCAGCGTACATACCGGCCCTCGCAGCTCTAGGAAAGGCTGCGCCCCCACTCAAAGCTGTATACTCACGCTCTTCCAAGAGCGCTGAGAGTCTTTCGACTGCCGCTGCTAAAGCCTTAAGCATCCCTGCGCCGGACGTCTACTACGATGGCGAAAACGGCGGAGGCATAGACGCCATTCTGGCACGGCAGGACATATCATCGGTTCTTCTTGCCCTTCCCATCCCTCTGCAGCCATCAATGATCCTCAAGGCACTGAAAGCAGGCAAGCACATCTTGAGCGAGAAACCAGTTGCTCCCGATGTCGCCAGTGGGATTGCTCTGATCGAACAATATCGGTCCGAGTTTCAGGGGAAGGGACTTGTGTGGCGGGTCGCGGAGAATTTCGAAGTGGAACCGGGGATCCAGGAGGTGGGGAGACTTATTAGCGATGGAGCGATTGGTAAAGTCATAGGGTTCAAAGCCTGCGTTTTGAATTATGTGGACAAGGACTCCAAATGGTACAAGACGCCGTGGAGAACTGTGCCTGAGGTACGCCGGTCTTCTTTCCTTCCATTGCTTGCCTGCCGTCTTACGCACAGATTGACTCGTAGTATCAAGGAGGCTTTCTGGTGCGTGCTGTTCCTCAGTGGCTCTGCAAGTTCTAATATTCCCGTTGATCAGTTGGATGGCGGAGTCGTGAGCATATCAACTTACTATCTTCAGGAAGACGGATACTTACACTCCACGTTATAGCATACGATAGCCGTATTGCGGGTTCTGCTTCCTCAGCCCATTACACACCTTTCGAGCTTTGCCTCGCTAAACAAGGACTATCTCGCCCCTCATGACACCATCCATGCCATCGCGAAGGCCTCGGAGCATTACAACGGCACCATCGAAATGACTTTTGCGTTTCCAACAACGTCCAAACCAGTCTCAGCGAAAGATACATTTGTCGTTACAGGGACAGAAGGATATGCGGCAATTTCTTTAGAAGGAGGATTCGTCAAGGCCGTTCTCACGACGGAGAAGAAAGAGACGATCGTCGAAGCGAGAATGACAGGCGTCCAGGTTGAGTTGGGTAGCTTCTTCGACGCGGCAGGCGGTAATGAAGGCGTCCAGCCATTTGGCAGTCCGGTAGGAGCTCTGAAGGACGTCGCATTTATAGAGGCCGCCTTGAATAGCGATGGTGCGTTGGTCGACCTAGGTTTGTTGGTCCCTGGTTTGGAATGAAGAACATGGAAATAGTATATGTAGTAGCCCTTCGATTTCCCGCTTGGCGCGTACGAATGATGATTCGATGTGAACTCCGGGGACCGGCTGATCAGGCCTCCCCGGCCCTCAGGGTCCATAGTTCCACTTGTTGCGATATTACTCCGCTTGCAGCCACTAGTAATCGGGCCAGAGGTGCATCGTGTGAAACCTATAGATGAAACGTGAAGTAGCGAAATTCCTTTCGTAGGAACCGGTGGCAGTTTCAACAGTAAAACATTGAATGGCTGATGTCGGCGAACGATGTCGCAAACAAACCAGTCTAGTCGGTCGAGAGAAGTCTAAGAGATTCTCCTTTATTGCGACCATAACGATGACAGAACGTTATAAACTAGGGCTGCACTTAAGCTGATTGGGGGTGATTGGGTAAGGGCCGATTCTTTGTTTGTTTAGTCTTATTTGCATCGGGAGCTTAGAGGATGACAGGAATTTGTAGGGCACTATAGCCAAGTGGTTACGGCGATAGATTCGAAGGCTTGTTTATCTATTACTCTCTGAGTGTGCAGGTTCAAATCCTGCTGGTGTCGACGACCTGAATCGTCAACCATGACAATAAATTTTGTTTAGTCCCCAGTAGGGTAGCGCACGAAACCTCCAGGCAGGTCAGTAACCGTTTGTTACTGACCCCTCCCCAGGAGGGACAGTTTTGCTACGGTAAGTTACCGTTACTTACCTATCACGTGCTGACTCACATGACCGGCGCGCAGCAATTGCGGATTTGTTTTTCAGGTTCTGTATCCTCGTGTTTTTATACAACTTTTCTGTCTCGGGAGCTGTTATACACCCGGAATTACTCTAACTCTACTTTGTACAAAGAATATACATTTAATTGTAATGAATACTTGCTTAACTGGCACATGATTGGTAAGTTACCTCGAAAAAAATCCCTCTCATGGAGGGGAGGTAACTTACCGGTAATTAACCTAGGTTTCGTGCGCTACCCTAGTCCCCAGGTACAAAAACTTTGAAACCTCCGGTAAATTAAGGAACCAGGTCACCGTTGTAACTTGTCGGAGTCAGGGTAGAACACGAAATGTCCGTGGTGGTAAGTTACTGGTTTTTTTTACCGACCCTTCCCCAAGGGGCATGTTCCAATACAGTAAGTTACCGATCCATTCCCGGTGTGTAAGTCTTTCAACATTAAATACTCCATCAAAACACCACCCTCAGGGAAGCATGAATACAAAACCTGGCCTTAACCCTTTGGACTTTGGTGGATGGCCTTGTTGAACGCCGGACCTCGAGCGATAACAAAAGTTACCAAACTCTATCTACATGTTCGATAGGGTTGCGCACGAAACCCTAGGTTTTGATACACTAGGGTTTCGGACCGGTAAGTTACCGGTTAGTTACTGGTAATTTACCTCCCCCTGCTGGAGGGGTTTTTGTCGAGGTAACTTACCTGTCATTTGATGACATTTCAGCGGCAATATTACCACTATATTCAATCCTAGTGTAGTTATATTTTATTTACAGCTTAAAACATATCTCTTTAGTAACTTTCAATGAATCACACTTCAGGAGAAAGAAAAATGTGTAAAAGAATACGAAGATGAAGATACTGCGAAATTTTTGCAAACAACACGCGTCAGGCATGTGATTATGCACGTGATAGGGTAAGTAACGGTAAATTACTGTATCAAAACACCCCCTTGGAGAGGGGTCGATATAAAACCGTATCTTACATCCCCAGAGGTTTCGTGCGCAGCCCTAGTGTTCGACAATGACAAAATTGTAGACTATAATTGAACATCTGGATGGACACTGTGGGATTTGAACCCACGACCTCACGCATGCGAAGCGTGCGCGCTACCACTGTGCCAAGTGCCCGACAAACAAATTTGCCTGCTGATCTGAGATTCTGAGTCTCCCTCTGAGAAGACATTCAGAACCCAACGCAGTTTGCAGTAGTAGGATGACCGTGTTTCCATTCAGAAAGTTCGCCATCATTTACATTTCACGGTACCGCTGTTCGTTTCCCGAAGGGCCGAATGTAACTTACGTGATGATATTTTTTACCTGTACACCACATTGAAGATTTCTCCCCCCTAGCCTTTACTAAACTACGAGCCCCCGAACGTTGGGATGGCGTACACCACCATCAAGGCTGGTATTCTTCCAGCTTTACTTGCCAGGCTCTCATCTGCGAAGCTCTTTGTTAGAAAACAGCCAAGGATGGCTCGTTACCAGCATTAGAACGTCTCGTCTCCATTGTCGAGGACGACGAAGATACCTTTCCTCAATTTCTCCCGGTTTTTCGATATCGTCTTCGCAATACTAGTGTTCCCAATTCGTGGCTGGATCCGGATCAGCCTCATCAATCAATCATCGTCGCCAGATCTTGCCTCAAAGCCATAGCGCTCGGGTTCCAGATCAAACACAAAACTCCGCTACGGCCTGATCTCATCCCCCAGATCTCTGAGGTCCTACCAAATGTCCTTTCGTGGTTCATGTACTTCATGAAATTCTATCTTCTCGACAAAGCGGATGCGCTACCCGAGTTTGACTCGGATGAGGATGAGCTCACGTTCAACATGATGAGGCTCGTTGCCGATCTCTCTGAGATACCGTCATTCGTTCAGATATTGGGACGCTTTCCCAATTTCATGCGCATCATCACGGAGGTTTGGATCCTCACCTCTGCAAATGACCTCAACGTGGCTCAAGCTACGGGACGCGCCATCCAAAATATGACCTTCGACACCAACGAACCATGGCTTGATGATTTCACCCAAGTTCTTCATACGACATGCATCAGCGTAGCCTTTCCTTGCCTCGGCCGACTCATCCTCCAGATACATTCCCGAGAGCCAGATTACTACGTGCTCAAACGCTGCATGATGACCATGTTCAATTTTTCCGCCAATTCTCCACCTGTTAAGCGGGCCTTCCTGGCTGCGGACGGTGTCAGGTGGACTTGTCAGCTGTTACGGCGTCTATCCTCCCGAAAGCTCGTACTTTCGATGACGATGGATGACTTTGAGACGTCAAAAGGCATCATCTCGCTTTGTGTGTCCTATATCTCTGGGGCGTTCGCGGATCAATTCACATGGGTAGGAGAGGCTCTTCAGGCCCATCTGCTCTTATCCATCATGAAATGCCAACCGTACTTTATGCTCGCGGGAGGAGGGCATACGCCTGATTGCACGACGGGTAACACGCTCAATGATGTACTGGTGCATCTTTTGAATGAGGTCAACTGCCATTCTGTTATTCGGGCTGTTCTACGGCAGGCCACTAGGGCTATACGCGAGGTAGAGTGGCACCCATTTTCGCTAGAAAAGGGTATTGAGAAGGACGCGCCCAAGCTCTGGGAAGCGTGGGCAAGATTGAAGAAGGCGGTAGGCACTCGTATGGAAATGAGAAAGAATTATCTTTGGAGGGACAAGGCGGAGTGCATGAATGTGGAGGTGCGTTACTTTCATGACATGTTTGAGCTGGTCCGTCTGAGATCAATTTCCAGTGTCCTTTGCCTCCGCAAGTAACTCCTGAAGCCATGCTCCCTTCGCTCAAGAAGTGTGTGGGATGCTGCTATGCATATTACTGCTCTACAAAATGCCAGAAGGAGGCATGGAAAGGCGGGCATCGAGATATTTGTACTCACATAACGAAGAATCGGAAAAGTAAGATTACATTCTTCCATATGAATGCAGTACTCATGTTGTTTTGCTCAAATAGAGGGACATCCGCCGCATATGAACCCACGAGATGGTTCTTTCCTTTTGTACCTTGTAAAGTGCGATATGAAGAGGAACCCTAATCATATCAAAACTCTGAAGAAAGAGTATAGACAATCACATCCGGCCGATAATCTCCCCCTTGTAGTCGTCGTCAACTATCTCGTTGTGCCTAGGACGTTCAGCGTGTTTTCGGCATCGGTGTATAAGGGGAAGCCCGACTGGGATCAGCATGTTGCAGACGCGAGAGCGGGAGAGGGACAGCTTATTTTTATATCTGTTCCCCATGGGCCGAACGTTTCACATGAACTGAAACTCATACATGGCATTTGAAGGGCATCACGGAATGGTACAATATTCAATTCGGCACTGACGAGGCTGAGGGTATCGATATCTATAAAAGTTGTTTACTGAGGGACCATAATAACTATCATGTCGTAAGGCCCTTCACCGTTGCCTCCATATACGCTTTGGGATCATCCCAGTGGACCTAGACGTGAATGTAAATCAATACAGACCTGAATAACGAACAAGGTCGACGTACGAAATGGTTTGCTCCTGGGATCTCGATAAAGCGGGTAGGTCGCTTGGGAGCGAAGCGCTCGTTCCCAAAAAATCCCCACACGCAGTACCAGTTCGTCGCAGTACAAAACTGATGTACAATTTCCAGCTTTGGCAGAATCTTCTTGATGGCCTCTTCGTCGTATAGCGCTGTCTCGGTCTGCTGCCTGATGGTAGGCTGCATCGGAGGGAAATACCTGATTTGGCAGATGCTAATGAGTCAATGGTCGGGGAGACGAAGAAGACATACATGGGAAATTCCATCCTTCCAGCTGCCTCACCGTCAAAGGTAACTTTCATGTCATCTGGCGTCATGTTCTCGATTGACGGACGTGTACCACGTTTGCTGAAGTCAAGCCCGCTTGGGGAACGCGACGCAAGATCCGGATGGTCATAGTACGTGCTGACCCAGTATCCAAAGTTAGCAAAAATCGCTTCAGCTGTTTTGAGCTCGGGATCAGTGAACGGGTTATATCCTTCTGGTGGTTGATCGTATCCGAAAGCGAGATGAGGCGGGTCTGATGAAAAATGAGAAAAATTGAAAGTCCTAATAGAAGGAAAACTAGCCATAGAAGATCATCTGTCGGAAATATGGCTCCAACGCGTCGTAGGTCTCTTTGGGTATAACTTCCGGGTGGGAAAGAATGGCAAGGGGACTGTAGATGGAGTTAGTATCAATATCATGACAAAACTTGAAAGCGAAAATACGTCGTAGCTCCAAGACTCCATCCAATGGTAGCCAATCCTCCAGACTTGCCGTCGACGCCGATCTTGGGAATATCGTTGGTCTTGACAAACCAAGCCAGGAAGTACGCCGATTCGGATCCAAGACGCTGTAAAAATTCTGTCTTCCCCTCTCTTAGCTCTGCGAGTTCCTCGTCAGCATACTTCGTTGAGCCTGCATAGTCACGCCTATTCAGGATGACGAGACGCAGATTATTTTCCGCTGCCATCGGGAGGAGCTTGTGGAAGGTATCTAAATAGACGAAGAAATGAGATATACGCGACATCGAGCATCAGAAGAAAAACTTACGGCCCGTGAAGGCACTTCCGTGGAAGATGACAACAGTAGTGTAGTCAGTGGACCCCGCGACTGGCCCGCTGTCAGTGAAGAAGAGCACTGTGCCATTGGCGTCGACAGGACCAACACCGGTTGTATACGACATGGAGATCAAAGAGGGGGATGCAAAGTTGATGATGAACCTTCGACTGAAATACATGTAGCCAAGTACAGACGCCAGGAACTACATAGGGATTCCGATCAGCGATTATTGGTATTTAAATTACTT